AGACACACACCTAGACACACACACTTAATAAAATAAGTAAATAAACAGACTTTTTTTAATAAAACAATACAATTAGACAATATGTAGGGGACTTTTTTTATTGTTAAGTATTGGTAGCAATATATATACAACATTAATGAAAAATCTGACTTTATTTACAGCTGTATGAAAAACAGTTAGGCAATCTGCTCTATATGATAAAAACTTCACCGTCACATCCTCAATATGTCTTTATTAGTTGTATGAAAGTAGTTAATTCAAGGAAAGATTACTGGAAAGAAAGGAAAAAAGAAGACAAAAGACATTGAAACATTAATCTAAAAAGCAGTTTGTTAATTCCTTCACTTGAAAAATGTACCTTTTTGATAAATATAAAGTTTAATTACAAGCCAATAAGCAAAAAAAACTATTTTAAAAGCTCTTCATTTTCCCTAGAAACCTTCAAAATAAAAATAAAATAAAATAAAAGACATATTTTTTTTGTTTCTTTCTCAAGGTGAGAGGCTGCCTTAATGCAGTTAAGTTGCCCACGATGCCAGCATACGCATATCGTCATCCTCTTCAGCCCTTTTCTTCACTGCTGTAAAAAGAAGAAAAACATTCAACAATTAATGCATTATTATTATTATTTTTATTATGTAACATTTATCAGGGTTACGGCTGCTATCGACTGCATAATTATTTATCCTCCCCCATCAATGGATTCATATTTATTCTTAAAATACGTTTAAAAGGGACGCCATGGTGGCCTAAGAGTGAAGGTGGCCCTGAATCACATCACTGTTTCTCTTTATTTTCGAGTAGCCTATTCACTAATTATTTATGTTTCATATAATTCAGTTAATTTAGCTTTGAGGTCTTTGAATAGCTTATTTTTCCTCTTTTTTGTGTGCAATTTTTGACTTTGAATTCATGTAAACCTGTGTATATGTGTGTTTGTATATAGTATGACTGTATTTGTGTACATGTGATGCTTTATGATAAATCATTTTTTAATCTTCAAACAAGTAAATTAAAGAAACATATGCTTAAAGGACTAAAAATTCAGTATAATTAGTGGATAAATTAATGCAGCCGCAGCTCAGTTTGACTGCTTGACCAACAACTTTGTAAAGTAAACTATATGAGAATAATTTCTAAAACTACTGAATATTTTGGAGATAAAATTGTGAAAGTGGCTCATATATATTTGAATACACACAACAGCTGCTGGTTAAAAATAAAAAAATTCGCCCTCTAATCCATCAGGTCCTCGCCGTGTTGCACTTACTTGCGCGCTGACTGGGCCGCGCTGAAGGCAGTTTGGAGCTCGGCACGCTGGGTAGTCCGCCCATACTCTTCATGTTCTCCTCCATCTCCTCCTGTTCCAGCTCTGCCAGCTCTGCCAGCAGCTCATCCTAAGAAAAACACACAAAGTACACAGGATTTAGAGTCCCGTCAGATCCATTTTCACGGCGCACACACGGTCTATGTACAGAGTGTAGAGAGTGTGGATGTTTCAAAAGCTGACAGAGGAGGTGAAGAAGGTATCCACCTCATCAAATGTCTCGCCGAAGGGTCTGGAGATGGCCTCGCTGATCTCTTGGGCAACGTCCTGTTGCTCTGTGATGTCGTGCATCAGGTCATCTATCTTGTCGACGTCCCTGAAAACGAGAGGAGAGAGATACAAGATTTAACATCACTGGAAACTCAACAGTAGATTTTTTTCTTCATTTTAAAGGAAATTGTCTAAAAGAACTCTTTAAATTCTTGGATGCTACAAAAAATATAGATTAAAAAAGGTCCAGTGTGTAACATTTAGGAGGATCTATTGGTGTATAATCACCTGAATATAAGTGTTTTTGTTACCTTAGAATGAGACTTTTATCTACCAGACCTCATGTTTATACAGTAGCCCAGAAGGGACAAACCAAACACTGGCTCTAGATAGGGCTGTTTGCTATTTTTCATTGCCTTCGAGCTTGAAAGGTGAGGTTGAAGCGAGCGGGTTAAGGCCACTAAATCTTACACGCTGGACTATAATATCAAATTATGACAGTAAAGAAGGCAAATAGTGCACATTTATTAGGCTTAATGCTGCAGCTAATGGTTATTTAATTAATAATATAATAATATTTTCCCCTTTAATAATACTTTTGTTGTGCTCAGTCAAAAATCCCAAAAGGTGAAAGGTTTGGTATTTGCACATTTTTGTCCTGATTTGATGATTTCCCTGACAGATTTATTATTAAATATAAATGTTCTTGAGATTTACATGTTACAGTTTGCCAATTTGAGAGTGGTAATACTTTTACATATGTTGCTGTAGCATACTGTTTTCTATCAAAAGTTCAAGCAATGTAAACACAATCATGTCAGGACTTTCAGGGAAATGGTATCGCTAGTTGTTGAATGTTCTTGTTGTCCTTACATGTTCTCGTGGACCTTCTTCATGGCCTTGGCAGCAAAGCCCATGTTCTTCAGGACCTCTGTGTTGGTGTGCGAGTTCTCCAGAGCTTCCCTCTGGAACTCGATGGTGGAGAGCGTCCCATCGATCTGTGTGAGCTGCTGCTCCAGGCGCTTCTTCCTCTTCAGGGCCTGCAGGGCAGCTGACACAGAAAGGTTGCAGATTGATTTGACTTTGAAGACTGTCTCACCTGTCGCTATGTGGTCCAGGACTTCCAGTGTTGGGCGTTCACAAACAAAAAGGTTTTAAAAGGTTCCTCCCTTTTTACATGGCGATGTTTATTTTAGTCTGAGGTGATTCAACGAGCAATGCAGCAGCTCAAGATACTGTAGGTTTTGTTTAGTCGCCTCACCTGTTACCAACCTGTTACACTTGCTGCTGCTATCAAACCTTAATAATCAATAATCAATCACTGCAGGCCAATAATCATACAGGAAGTACGTGTGGCTGTGAGTTTAGGGGCTTTACTGTACCTGAAAGTACGTTTTATCTTAACCCCCCCTCTTTAATAATGCGTGTAAAGACTGTAATAAGTCTCTTAAACAAAGCCTTGTTGCCACATAATAAGGAATACAGGTACACAGATATTTTCAAAATAAAATAAACATACCTCGCTTATTCTTGGTGCCATTCTTCTTGGCGATCATAATCTCCTGCTCGATCCTCTTTTCCAGGTAGTCCTGTTTCTTGGTCAGCATTTCCTCGGTTTCTCGGAGTTTGTGGATGGCCTCTTGGGGTGAAGGTCCTCCCTTCGACCGGTGTTTGGACCTCGAAGAGCTCGATGAACTCGAGCCGGAGCTCCCTTTGAATAATTTCGAGATTTTGCTCATGTTTTCAGCCGCTTTTTGGTGTCAAACTGCGACGGTGTGTGAATATGAGCAGTCTCGTCCTACTGCACTCTGTTTCTACAGGGCGGGTGTGTTGCAGCAGATTTTCCAGCTCGACGACTTTGTGTGTTTTTCCAATTCAAACCAGCCAGTGAATGCACCTTTCACCATTACCTGCGTGACGTAGTGACACCTGACGCCCTCGCTGTTTCACCCTCGAGCGCGTTTTTTTTTTTTTTTTTGTATTTTTTTTTTAATCTTAGTTTAAATTAGATAATAAAAACTTTTTTTTAAATTTAAAAATTAATTAATTTTATTTTTTTGTGAAAGGCTAGTAAGTAAATGTACATACTTAAACCTGCGCCATTCTTTAATAAAAAAAAAATAAAATATATTTAAATTAATCTGTTTCAGGCAAACACCGAGTGACGCTAGTGAAACTTCCGG